TCCCCATACCTCCAAATCTTTTGCAATTTCAACCGTGGGTTAGTTACAGAATGAGATTAGGGTGCGTCAGTGCTTCGTTCGCCATAAAAAAGTTTTTGCAATTCTAAACTCTGCAAATGGCTTCCCAGCGAGAAGTGGCTCTTTCATATGAATTGCCGTGAAACTTGCTTCAGTGTTCAGAAAAAAATCAGCTGTATTATATTCATGGTCATTACGAGTGACATAGTTCAATCCATATTCGGTTGCAACACTCACATTACCACACACAGAAATGGCCGAGTCGTCGACGTTCGAGCAATTCCTTCAGGATGAGCCATGCATTTTATTTCCTATGAGCATTGTCGATATTCCTGAAAAGCATATCTGGCTCGAATATCATCAATTCAGCATTTTACCTGAATAAAGCATGTGCATCGATCATGTTGCCTCATGAGCAGGTTTTGTTACCAATTTACCCGGCCCAGGGAGCCCTTGACGAGCCGGGATAAATTGTTAACAAAGCTTGCTTATGATATTCGACCTAAAAGAAAATTTTAACCCGAACCTAATAGATATCAAAACAAATATTCTGATAAGAAACATTCAGCATAATTGATCAACTTTTGGGTAGTGCCGCGCATCTTACTGCATTTTGATGTTTTAGAGGCATTCTAGTGCTATTTGGGTTACACGGTAACTTCAGGGGTCAGCCGTCAATTTTCAGACTCGTGGATAAGTCTGACACCAAATAATGTGCCCGGACGAGTGCAAGGCTCTTTTGGCTCAGGAGAATTCGGTGTGCACAGGGTAAGCGATCCCAACTGTCGCTACAGTACCTCGTACTTGATCAGTATATCAGTATAGTGTTTAGAATTTTTGAAATGGCCGTGCAGACGAAAAATAAATCGTCATATTACATAGACTGAGCAATCGACTTCTGCCTAGTCCGCTTTTGTTTGCGATTAGAAAAACTAAGGAATCTGGGTTCCCCTTCGTCTAAATTTGAACTTTGGATCCTGATAAATATTATTAGGTCCTTACGATAATTTTTGAATACTGGGTCAAAAATGCAATGATTGCTGGCTAGAAGTAATCTCAAACTACCATCAGTAGCTGTCAAAAGTGTGTTGTCTGCGACTCGATTAAGTTGTGCAGTTATTTTTTCTCACTGTAGCAAGTGCCCTCCCAGAGTTATAAATACGATGTTTTGTTGTGTTTTTATATCCTTAAGCCTTTGAGAATCAGGATGTTCGGAAGAAAAAATTTTCGCGGCCGCCATTGGTTTTCTTCTGGCGACAAACAGAGAAGCACGAAAACCGTTTCGGTGAACAGTTTTGACTGCTACTGTAACAACATCATTCAAAGTATGCAACATCAATCAACACAATTCTGCCCTTTTCCGGGGAAAGCAGCAAAAACTCAATACTCGTAGTAGAACTTTCACAGGCCTTCAAAAAAAAACTGCTAATCAGTCGTCGTCGACGCAAACTGCTGAAAGTCTAAACAGGCACGCTTACTTTTCTAATCAGAGCATGCTCGAGATGATCCGCAAAGAAATGAAATTGAAGGTAACATTATAACAGCCCAAAAGAAAAAAAAAATTTCGCGGGCGCCATTGTTTTCTTCTGGCGACAAACAGCCCAAGTCACGAAAGCAAATATGCAGATAAGTCCGCACGTGATGGCGATTTCAACTCTGCCAAAATTCTCTTCCTATCCACTTGCATTGTCCTTTAAGGCATAAAACCTCATTTGATAAATTTACAATTGATTAATATGCTTTGTGGCAGAATACGTTTTGCGCAAAATCTGCACAAAACGCATATAAATCAGAATGAGAATAAGGAGGTTGAATAATAAATATAAATCAAAATGCTGCACAAAGTGCTGCAAAATGAAAATATTTGCGCAAATATTCGTAATTTTTGATACAGCCTCGAAGGTATTGGAAGACCTGATAGGTGGAGCTTTGACTATCGCAATTCTAAAAAAGCGTCGTCGAACTTCTGAACGCATTCTCAACTTCGTCTCTGATGTCCTGGTGGTCAAACGACTTTCTATGCTGTAGAAAGGTGAGTTCTTCAAAATACCAACGAATAAATTTTATATCCGGCAACCTTATGCTGACCTCAATCAACCAATCATACTACTGCAAATACATGAATTTACTAATCTCTTCAACCGTTGGGCCTATTCCTTCGTATCCTTGTGAAAGGACCATCTCTACTGGTACCTGACATTAGGTCCATCGCGCGACAAGAAGGCAGAGTTGGCGGACGAGTCAGCGCGTACGTGATTTCGCGTCAAGTTAAATAGAATGTCCATTGTACGTCCTACATCGCACATCACGCGCTGCGACTCGTCCGCTGACTCTGCCTTCTTGCCGCGCGACGGGCCTCCTGTCGGGTACCTCCATCTCTACGTATGCTTGTGATTAGCTACATAGAAATAGATCCGGGGGGGGGGGAGAGAAAAGCTCACCGCGGCGCAAACGCGAGCGCGTGCAGGTGACGTCACAGCTGCGACAAAACGGCGACGAGAGGGCGAGATAGGAGTGTTGCTGTCACTTCGCTTGGATGATAGAAGGGTTGCTGGCACTCACTAATTGATGCAGTCAGTAGTACCGTGAGCAAAGAGGTTGTATTGTGTGTAGGTACAATTTTCGCCGTCGAAAATTAGGAATTTGTTTGCGAATTTAGAAAAAAAATAGCTAGCATTGTTATTTGAAGTCTGTGCCCTCATTTGCACGATAGGGAACGCGCTCGCTATGAAACCGTGGACAACGTGGGAAAGCAGCAATATCTCTTTCTTGATGACTGTCTTCGAGGTAATTATTTGTAAATTCCAGCTCAAACGCCATCGGCATTATCATGGCGTGAAACGGACTTTCTTTTGCAAGCAGTAGGCACGTGAAAAAAGTGAATGTTTCTCACAGCTTTAGGAGCGGAAGTGGTGTAGTGGCAAGTGGCGCGCTCACCACGCGAGCGGTCCGGGGATCAAATCCTGGGTCGTGAGTCGCCCGGGCCAACCAAGCCTTCCATCCCTCCGGGGTCGGTTAATTGGTACCAGACTTGTCTGGGAGGATAAAAACACTGACTTGTACATCATGGCCCCCGCAAGTCATTGTATAGGCCACATCGCATTCAAACGCCACTACGAATGTACAAATGGAAGTAGAATGCGTGCCGCATCCCAAAAAGGGATTGATCAACGGCAAATGCTTTATCCTTTGTTTATTACCACAATGACAATGATGACGCCAGAAATGCTCAGCTGATTATTGCATTCTTATTTGTTTGCTTCTGTTTTCTATTTTACATCACATGATTCAATGGAACCACTCTGAACTGCGTAACTATCGTGCGTTTCATGGAGGTTTTCATATTTCAGCAGCTTTCTTACAGTTGTAGAAGATTGTGTTGTAAAAGACTTCTGATTGTATCCCTGTAACTACCATTTACTGTGATCTTTTATTTTAATAGCTCATTGTTATATTAAATTTGTGCTTATACTTTCCACGATATTTTCGAGCCATCCAGCTCAGAAACGTTTCGATTATGATAGGTATTTCTGCTTACCACAGTCGTCTGTATTTTACTCAATCCTTCGATTGTTTCAAGTTTGTTCTTAATTGTGAAGCGGCACTATTAGTCTAGATCGTTGACGGGTTATTAATATCGCACTGGGAATAAACTGAACTGCATAAAAGCTTAAAAACTTATATATTAATTGGAACTCAACTGAAAGAGTAAGTCTCTGAGTAAACATTTATTCGCTTCAGATACAGTAGCGGTCAAAAGTTTGGAAACTTTTTTATTTTTGATCTAGCGTAGCCAATAGACAATGAAATTGTCCCGAATTCACATATTATATACAGAATCAAGTGTAGATTACGATGAGCAACATGATTTTTTGAAAACGAGAATCGCATTTGAAAAATACGAATTTTT